GAGGACTCGATCCACAACGCTATATAGAGCACAATCGCGGCATGGCACATCGCAGTTCAGCACGGCCCAGCACAGCACAGCCGTCGGCACAATACATCAAGATCGATACATTCAGCATTGCATTTGTCCGTCGCCCAATCAGGTGTCGTTGAAAGGTTGCCATGCTTTACATTTCTATATTCCTTTCCGGATTCGTGGGTCGATCATGTTTTTCTGGGTCCTCCAGTCCGACGCTCGATCCGAAATTTAGCAGGCCTAGACCTTCCTGCTGCGATGATGCGATGGGAAGACGGGTGGTCTCGCCGCGGGCAGCTGGACCTCAAGATATTGTGCAATAGTGTAGTCGGGCTATTTGGTTTAGGAACTCTGGTTAGAAACAACTGGTTGAAGCTACATTACTTCGTATACGCTCGCCTTGGTCCGTTAAGTTCCCTGTGGTTCTACACCTGCAGCCCAAAAACTCAAGCCTCTGCAAAAATGTTGCGCTCCTTGGCAGGAGCCCGCTAGCAGGGACACTAAAGGGGGAGACTTTGAGGTTCGTTTTCGGAAGCATCAGTGCCGCACTTCGTTCGTTAGGGACGTGCTTTACAATTGCGTTGTGTCCGCCAGAAGCCTTTTCCCCCTGACTGGTCGACATTTTCGTGGAGCAGAACGCAAGCCATGCTCTCCTCCACCAATGGAATCCTGACGTCTGCAAGATATTATTCCCAATCCAGGCTACTCCGAGAACACCTCAGGAGGCCTTAGCGCACGTCGGCGAGGTGGCAGGAACGCGGACGATGCAAAACACCAATCCGAACTGTACTGCGGACAACCACACCGCATCAAGCTACGACCCGCAAGCAAGAAAGCATACGCTGGCCAAGCTGTAAAGGCATACTTCTTCTAACGCGTACACATCCAATGCTTCTGTAATGCATTCGCGAACCGTAGCACAAATGCGGCGGCCGGTCAGAAAGCGAGTGCTAGCTTTGTCGGGCTACCCGAAGGAGATGGTACGTTGATTTCTTGAGCGATGCTGCAGCCATCTGTAAAAACTAAGCGCAAATCCATGTGTAAGGCTGTGCAACTCCCCTGCCTCACCCTGTTATACTTACCTGGCGAAAGACACACACACACACACCTGCGCAGCTGATATTAACGCAGAAGATCTACATCCCTCTTTCCATCCCGAAATGGGTGCCGCCCCACATGCAAACCCTGGCACCAGGATTGTAAGTGGAGATCCCAAGTGAGCACGATCCGCGTGAAGGGTACGCCAACAAGAGCGACGCCCAGAATGCGAACCCTCGACTTCGCAAATTGCGCTGCCCCCCCCAAAAAAAGAATCAACGACGGCGCTCATAGGAAGGAGTATGGACAGAAGTTGTGGAGAGAGAATGAGAGAGAAAGATTAACAAAAAGTGAATGAATACAAAGAAATGAGTGGCGATCGACCCAACCCTATGCAGCCGCTAGCAAATTAGGATAAAACTCTCTCTTCATAGGCAGCGCACTGCGAGAGGGATCAAGCCTGGGGCAGCGCGGATGGGGGGCGGAGACCAGGCGCGCAGAGGCGACCTCACCCCCCTTCGGTGCGCGATAGAACTGCACGACTGAAGGATGCGCAGAAAGCGGAGAACCTCCCGCAAGCGAACGCTGCCACTGGGGCCGTCGGTGAAGCTCCCCGTGGGGCGCGATCCTCGTGATGTGTGCGCTGAACTGGGGGCCGCCCCGCATGCGAATCCTCCCACTGCAGCCAGAAATGGACCTGAATGTGGGGCCACGAAACGTGTAGGGGGGATGCCGAAACTGGCGCCGCCGAGCATGTGAACCCTGCCACTGGGGCCTCAAATGGAGCTCCCCATGGGGCCACCAAACGTGTGAGAGGTGCGCCGGAAACTGGCGCCGCCTGCCACCGGGGCTGGAAGTAGAACTCCTTATAGGGCCACGGAACGCGTGTGAGGGGTGCGCCGAAGCTGGCGTCGCCCAGCACGCGGACCCTGCCAATGGGGCCACACATGGGATCCTTATGGGGCCACGATTCTTGCGAGGGGTGCGCCGAAACTGGCGCCGCCTCATGCGTACACCGTACACTGCCATCGGGGCCCCAGGTGGGGCACTATCTGGGGCGCAATCCTCGTGACGGGCGTGCCGAAACTGGGGACCCCCCCGCAAGCGAATCCGGCACTGGAGCCCGAAGTGGAGGGGCACTGCCACTGGCGCCTTTGGTGGAGCTCTCTATGGGGGCACAACCCGCGCGACAGGCCCGCGGACATGAACATGCAAAGCGCAGCCGCATGAGGAGGGGGCGAGGGAGGAGGAGGTGGAAGAGAATGAGAAGGAGACGCGCGTCGCTGCGGATTTCAAGCGAGGACTCAACAACACAGGAAAGTTGGGAAAGAAAGGAAGGAGACAATGCCTCATACATGCCGGGACAAAGTTGACAACCACGACCTTAGGAAACCCCAACAGAATGGGAGACCCCGACTGACCTGAGCATATACATCTACGCACGTGCCTAAGCATGACCTGACACATCGCAAATAGGCTCAATCACCATGCCTTTGTAGGGCCCCCCGTAGAAGTCGATGGGCTGACACACTTTCGAGAAGCCAGCGTTTTGGAAGATATCATTGAACTCATCGAGGGTCCGCTCCTGTCCAGAGAACACCAGCTGCATATGAATGTCTTGGCGCAACATTTCGTCGAATGTGTTGGGCGCGGAAGTGATGACGAAGTCAATGACCAGCACCTTCAGATTGGGCTTACCAGAAGCAGCGACGTTCCGGAGTATCTCGGCGCAGCGCCCGTCGTCCCAATTGTGCAGGATGCGTTTCATGATGACGAGGTTGGCTCGCACGGGAAGGACCTGGAAGAAATCACAAGGCGAAAAATTGACATTCCTCGCAGTGACTATCCCAGCCTGCTTGGCCTCCTCGACAACGGGGCGAAGGTCCAGCAGATGGCATGTGCAGCCTGGGCGCGCCAGCGCGACCTGATTGAGCAAGTCGCCAGTGCCGCCGCCCAGATCAACGACATCCCCACTGTCAGGCCACTGGTAGCCATTCACGATGCCCGGTATCGTCGAAGCCATGAGCTGTTTCATATACCTGCCGAAGATGATTTCCTCCTCTGGCTTCTCGACCGACATGTACGTGTAGAAGTCGCTGTTCATTGCGATCTGGAACGCGGACGAACCGCCCGAATTCCACATCTTGTCGACCCAGGCCAGGGAAAGTCCGCCGGCCCCAGCTTGCTGGGGGTCAGAAGGCGCGTAAGAAGATTGGCTGTCCCCTGCCCCTGTCCACCCCCCCAAGTCCAAGATGAGTCTAATCGTTGGCTGATGCATGACAAGACTGCCAACGGATAACACGAGTCCACTCCAGTGCATTGGAGCCATGCGCACTCGGAGGTAACGATCGGCCTTCGACTCTTTGTGGATGCTGGTATCGGAACATGCAGTCGTGTCGTCACATAGTATCGGCACACCTGTCGAATAGAATCGCACGCGATACGTCGTACAGGGCGCGCTCAAGTGCATGCCTAGTGGGCAGTAGTGCAGCGATAGCATGAAACATCCCCGTTCGCGCCACTGGACCAAAATGCGCTCAAAATGGGTCCCCTGACTCCTCCAGGGGTCCTCCAAACGCACCAGGTTTCCGAGCCGCGTCCTGCCGTGGAGACGAGGGGGCCCCCGAAGGCCAGGAAGCCTCGCTCCTCGATTCTCGAGGCTTGAAGCTTGAACCTCGAGGTGAACCGGCGACGCCTCCAGGATCCTAAAGATGCCCATAAGGACGGCTCCAACGTCCTTAGAACGTCTCAAGTAGAACTCGATAGGCACTGAGAAATCTCATGGGAGCACAAACACTTAAACATCATTACAAAACCTGTGGCTATTCGAGAATGCTTGCTATCTCGCCTCCTCACTTCCAGGCGTCTCCAAGAGGGCCCTGAAGACCTCCAGAAGGACCCAGACAGACCCAAATGCCTCCATGATGCGAATATTGTCCAAACTGGCTCGTTGCCAATTTCCCAGACAACCCAAAACTTGCTCCAAGACAACCCAAGCCCGCTCCAAGACGGTCCCCGGACTCCCCTACGCGGCCCCGAGACCCCAAAAGTGGCACCAAGACCCCAAGAGGTACAGGGGATGGCTCGAGAATGCTCAAACGAAGGTGAAAAGACCTCCAAGATGACCCCAGAGTACAATGCCCAAACGACAGCCGACAAGACGGGCCCAAACATTCTGTCACACACGTGCCCAGGTCATAACCGTGGACCTTGCGACTTCCATTGACATCTCACCTCGTCGTGGGGTCGGCGAAATGGCGTAAGCCCCTTAAACAAATTCTCGGTCGAAGTGCGCCAAAGGCAACGCAAATGCATTGCGCCACCTTTCCGCAACTGCAGGGAGCTCGCCGTGTGGCGAAAGCAACGCCCTTCAACCTCCTCAAAGATCTTGAAAGACGACATGTACCGCAAAGCCTTGTAGAGAAACGTGCTGTTCGCGATGCCCGTGCGCGCGGCGATGTCCACAACTGCAATCGACTCTTCAAGGCCAATGACATCCGGCACCCCCTTCCGAACGAGAGCGCCCAGGACTGGTGCAGCATTAAATTGGTCTAGCATCTCCGTCAGGGTCAGGACGCAATAGTCGTCCCTCCGCTCTGAAGCGATGGCGCAAGGAAGGGGCAACGGATCGACATTGTCCAGGCAGTGGTCCAGCGCGATCACGGTCGGCGTGCTCCTGTCGCTGTCGGACCACGCCTCGCCTTCGAGACAGCCTCGGCGAGCGCGGGGCGGCGTGCTGGAAGGGCTCGTCGAGACTCCGCGGTCGGCCACGAGCTGCCCACCGTTGAGGAGGATGTCCGCGGGGGAACGGATGAGGAGCAGCGCGTGCGCGCCAGAGGCGTCCCCGTCCGCGCACTGGACTGGCAGCAACTGGTGGCAGATCTCGCCGTCGCTCCAGAGGGCCGCGTCCCCTGGCGCGAGCACGGTCAGCGGACACGGCCGGCCGAGCCCGTCGGGGGCGCCGTGAGAGACGGCCTCTGCACCGCCGACGTTGGCTCGCGCGAGGCAGGCCATCGCAGCATGCGCCCCCCCGTCGGTGTGGATGCCCAGCCCAGTGGCGCTCTCCCGTGTCGCGTCGCAGGAGGCGCCACGCCTCGGGGAGGTCGCCTGGAGCTGCAGCAGCAGCACGGTGTTGTCTGGCTCGCTCCGTTCGGCGCAGAACTGCAGGATCACTCTTCGCAAGGGTCCAAGCAACACCTGGCGCGGGATCATACTGTACCTACGCGGGGCGTCTCCGCGGGAATCGTTGCAATCTCCTGGTTCAACGATGTAGTCCTGGTCCAATAGGAAGATGTCTCCGCGGGTGTAGAGCACAAATCGGATGGTCTTCTCATAGTAGGCATGCTCCTTCTTGGACGGGTCGGCACAGATGTCACCAGTGAGGAATGAACAGGTCGCGTCGAGATCTTCTCGTCCGACTGCTTTTGGGCAGAACTCAAAGGGTTGGGCTGCGAGACCCTGATCCTTCAGGACGCCTTCGCATCGTGAGAGCGGGATCTCCGAACAGCTGCGAAACATCGCCATGCGGGAAGTTTCAAAAACAGCAAGGCACTCGGGTGATATCAAGCGCCTGCGGCAATAACGGCTTGCGTAATAATTACGTGGGGCGGAGATTGGCAGGGAAACAAAAGGTTTGTGCCCAAGTATGGCTGTTAGGTCGCTGCCTGTGGATGTCAGTTTTACGAGGGGCCAACGCCTCCAGATGGAAATCGAGGATCTCAACATTGACCAGGTATGTCCCAACAGGGTCCTCAGAAGGTGCGTGAAAAAGCCAGGCGTGCCCCAAAAGACCCCGAAAGCCCAAAAGCACCCCAAGAGAGCCCCAAGATTGACCCCGACGGCGGTTTTCTGGCTGCAAGCTGGCGAAACTGTTCAAGGACCTTTCTTGGGTGGTCGACTGCATCCTGCATGGAACCAAGAGACTCCAAACGAGCCCCAAGTAGGCCTCAGAGGCTCTTACAAAGTCCTAAGCACGGCTCCAAGATATTTACAAGTGGCTCCCAGAGAACCCCCATGTTGGTCACGGGGTAGGTGCTCAAATTGAACCCGCTTTCGCTTATACTTGTGCCCCGTCCTCATTGTTTCATGTAAATACATCCGTTTCCTTCTCACGACAACTCGCGCGAGAATACGTTTCTGTACTAGTTCGCGCGAAAAGGGGAGCATCAGTCATTGCCGATCACAGGTTGATACTGCCAAGTGCGGATGTTGCTGTGACGCTGGGAAATACGCAATCGCGGATAAGAGGGAGGGGACGGCGGGGCTGCTTTGCCGGGGCTGCGGGGCTCGATCGCCAACGCTAAGAAGCCCGCCGCGGGCGCCGATCCCTACTGTGCATAAACTGTCGGCGGATCACGAGGATCAAAAATGAAAGAAGCCCGCCCCGGGCGCCGGCTTCTTTTCAGCACAACCAGCCCGCCACAAGCGATGATTTCCTCAGTTATGTGTACGTGGGTCGCCGGTGGGTCATGGGCGTAGGTCGCGGGTGGGTCGCAAATGGGTTACGGATGGGTCGCGGGTAAATCGCGGGCGGGTCGCAGGCGGGTCGCGGGTTGGTCGCAGGTGAGTCGAGGGTGGATCGCGGAGACCGGCCCATAACGGCCCAAGATGGCCCCAAGACGCCCCCCGAAGCGCTGACCCGCTCGTGGAGGGAGACCGTGGATCGTAGCAAGGTGGCCCGAGGAAGCCCCCAGGAGCCCCCAAAAGACGGCGGCCTCTCGGAAAGCCGCCCAGAGGGTGGGAGTCAAGGCACCTGACGCCTCCAAGACGGCTAAAAAGACCTCCAAGATGCCTCTAAGATGGCTAAAACGGCCTCCAAATTAGCCGAAGAAGGTCCATGATGGCCTCCAAGATGGCCCAAGGGGGTCCAAGAGGCCTTCAAGTTCGTCCAAGATGCCTCCAAGAAGGTCCTAGATGACCTTGAGACTGCCTGAGATGGCCTCAGGACGGCTCAAGAGGCCCCCAAGACGGCCCGAGAGGCCCCCAAGAGCCCCTCCAGGAGGACCCGAAGAGGCCATAGAGAGCTTGTTTTGCTAAACCCTTGTCTTCCCCATTTGGGGAGGGGGGTCCCACTCCTCTCTCCCTGGACCTGGACGGGGCGCCCCGCGAGTGATGGGAAATCACTCAAACCAGCAAGGTAATTATCACGTAACTCTGGAGTTAAATCGTGAGCCTGAATCGGAAAGACGGGAGCTGGAATCGGAGCCGGGGTCGGGGAGATGGGATGGGAGCTGGAGTCGGTGAAACGGGATCTGCACTCGGAACCGGAGTCGGAGAGATGGGACGGCCGCTGGAGTCGGAAAGCTGGGAGCTGGAATCGGTGCTGGAGTCGGAAAGGTGGGCGCCGAAACAATGTCGGAGAGATCGGGCGGGAGTTGGAGACGAAACCAGTGTCGGAGATAGGGGAGCCCCAGGGTTCAAATCAGACGATTTTATGGGAGCCTCTCTGGGGGAGGGAGACTTTTGGTGTGCCCGCGTGTTTTCTGGTTGAACTCGAGTACACCAGAGTTCTGCGTCGCTATGCAGCTTCGCCTGGCGGGGCGCCAGGCGACTCCTCGGCTCGCCTGGGGACGCGCCCGTGGGTTGTCGCCCCCGCGTTCCCATGTTTGGCGTTTGCCCCTGCGGGGCCTTGTCGTCGGCCGCCACAGATTTCTGTTCCCGGAAAGGGCGTGGGCCCCGGGGTTCTCTTTTTGGATGGTTTCCCCCTCAGTTTTGACGGCTGTAGGGCCGGCGAATTTATTTTGCTATAAATAACGAAGTCGCCTAGGGCTGGCGAATCAAGATGTCGAGGATGTCCCTAACGAAACGCTGGTTTTTGAAATCCCGATCGATTAATCACAGGGTGCGGAACACATTTTGGTCGAAGAAGTGCATTCCGTACAAGTGGGAACCACGTGTTTTCACGTGTCACGGCCACACCCAGGTAGGTATCTAACATGGTGGTCCCGAGCTGGAACCACGTGTTTTTACGTGTCCAGGCCGAGCAGGGGGGTATCTATCATGGTGGTCCCGAGCTGGAACCACGTGTTTTCACGTATCCAGGCCTCCCAGGGGGGATATCTAACATGGTGGCCCCTCGCTGGAACCACGTGGTTCCACGTGTCCAGGCCACCCAGCTAGGTATCTAACATGGTGGTCCCGAACTGGAACAACGTGTTGTTTTCACGTGTCCAGGCCGAGCAGGGGGTATCAAACATGATGGTCCCGAGCTGGAACCAAGTGTTTTCACGTATCCAGGCCTCCCAGGGGGGATATCTAACATGGTGGCCCCTCGCTGGAACCACGTGGTTCCACGTGTCCAGGCCACCCAGCTAGGTATCTAACATGGTGGTCCCGAACTGGAACAACGTGTTGTTTTCACGTGTCCAGGCCGAGCAGGGGGTATCAAACATGATGGTCCCGAGCTGGAACCAAGTGTTTTCACGTATCCAGGCCTCCCAGGGGGGATATCTAACATGGTGGCCCCTCGCTGGAACCACGTGGTTCCACGTGTCCAGGCCACCCAGCTAGGTATCTAACATGGTGGTCCCGAACTGGAACAACGTGTTGTTTTCACGTGTCCAGGCCGAGCAGGGGGTATCAAACATGGTGGTCCCGAGCTGGAACCAACTGTTTTCACGTGTCCAGGCCCCCAGGAGGCCCCAGGAGGCCTCCCCAGGGCCCCAGGACGGAACGTGTCAAGTTATTACACATCTGGTGTCAATTCGTTTACTTGTTGTTGCTTGTGTGCCTCCCCCCACTGTTGGGGGCCCAGACGACCGCATGCTAGCTATGCCCCCATGGGTGGCTGCGACACGTGATTGGCACGTTCATTGGCACGTCATTGGCCGCATGTTAGCTACGTATCCCCCAATCGCGCGGTGCACGTCCATTGGCACGTTCCGTAGCGCGTCCCCTTGGCACGTCCCGCGGTGCGTGCCCATGGCACGTCCCCTGGCTCGTCGCTTGGCGCGTCCCTTGGGACGTTCCGCGGCGCGTCCTCCTGGCATGTCCCCCTGTCGATTAGTTCTGGGGCAGCTACCATCTGCTCAGGCAGCTCGAGCTTAAGATCCAGATCAGTTCGGTCAGGACTCGAATGGCAGGGAGGGCTCGATCTACAACGCTACATAGAGCACAGTCGCGGCATGGCACGTCGCAGTTCAGCACGGCCCAGCACAGCACAACCGTCGGCACGGTACATCAAGATCGAAACACTCAACATTGCACCTTGGCACGTTCTTTGGCGCGTTCCGTGGCGAGTCCCCCTGGCACGTCTCGCGGCGCGTCCCCTTGCACGTCCCGCGGCACGTCCATTGCCACGTCCCGTAGCGCGTCACCTTGGCACGTCCCGCGGCGCGTGCCCATGGCACGTCCCCTGGCACGTCGCCTAGCGCGTCCCTTGGGACGTTCCGCGGCCCTGGCACGTCGCGCGGCGCGTCCCCTTGCACGTCCCGCGGCATGTCCATTGCCACGTTCCGTAGCGCGTCACCTTGGCGCGTCCCGCGGTTCGTGCCCATGGCACGTCCCCTGGCACATCGCCTAGCGCGTCCCTTGGGACGTTCCG